TGCTCGGTCGTCGAGAGAGAGAGAGAGAGAGAGAGAGAGAGAGAGAGAGAGAGAGAGCGACATTTCTCCTAGTTTTTCCATCTCTTGGTAGTTCTTCATAAAACTGAAGGCAACGAGACACACGTCGGATGGATTCATGGGAAACTTTCGATTGGTTGAAAAGAGAGAAGAATTCGAGTGGATTTAATTCGAGAACGAACGAGAGTTGAGAATCACACGCAGCGGCGGTTGTACGGGCGGTCGATATCGTTCAGCTTCGGTGGAAAATCGATTTCATTCGCTGGCTGCTGTTGAAGATCGCGTGAGGTCGAAACTCATCGCGGCACAATTTACGAGCCTCACGAGCAAGATATTATTTCGCGTAATTGCGATGCGGCTCCCTATCGACGTGCAATTGGACAACATGTAATTATCATATAATCGGTCGCTGTACGTTCGTGCCTCCGATTAAAAGGTATTAACTGTTACGTAAACACCCTCACGTAACACTCGCGGACTCTCTTTCTTGGACCTGCGCGCATTGCAACAGCCTGTCTCGAGAAAGACAGGAGGAAATCAACCCTTTGTTCACCTCGTGCAATTCACAGTAGTTCTCAGAAACTTTATTTCCCAATTTTTCCAAATTGGATCAAATTGTTCGCGTTTCATCGTTTCTCGATTCTAACATTCCTGTCGTCTCACGCCACGAATTAACTCGCCCCATTATTTACTTATTATTACCAGTTATCCCCGATTTATTTCCACGAAAGGCAATGTTAATTTACCGCGGCTGCTCGTGCAACGGAACGAGACTCCACGGGCGATCGTTGCCGCGCGAAAGTATCAAACTCGAGCACGTGGGGCGAGTTGCTGGTTCTCGCGAGTTCATTGCGCAACCAATGAACTCGCACCGGGCGAGCTTCGGCAAACGGCCAAAGCGAGGGTTAACGTGCGAGGAACAGAGAGAAAACGCACCGACGAAAAAGAGAGAGAGAGAGAGAGAGAAAAAGAAAGAAAGAAAAAAAGGCGAAGAAAAAGAACGACAAGGCTGTTAAGGCCCAGGTTTGGGCCCGGGCCCGGAAATGATTCGGCTGCCGCAGGCGGGGAAAGCGGCGACTAACTTGACAGATGGTTTTCTCCCTTCGCACTCTCGCGCCTTCTCCGTTCTCCACCGCCGGCTGATCCACGACCGCCGCCGCGCCGATCGCCGCTGTGATCGCCATCGGCAAACCCGCCGGTGAGTATTCTGTACGAATTGATCGCGCCATTCTTGTTCCCTGCGTTGTAATTTACTCGACGGCCGATACAACCAAGACAGATCGTGTGCGATGGCCATTTCTCAAATGGGTTTTCGACTACCTCGACTTCATCACCCCATACGGCTTTCCATTTCGAGTTTTGTTACGCTTGCAAAATGCCAAAATGTGATTGGCACATTCCGCCAATATTTAACACCCAGATTTTGATCATTATTGCCATTTCGATCTATATGTGACAATCTAGCATGCTGACGAATTCAATTATCTAGATAAAATAATGAAACGTTTTTAATTTGGCGTCAATTATTGAAAATCTTCGGAACATAGATTGACGTTGTTCATTTAAGATTTATAAGGTGTAATCTGATCTTTCACATTCGGTTATCACATTTTCGATCTATTTAACGACGACTCTCGAGGTCTTATCAAATTTCAGGCACATTCACTTTGAAAATGAATGACAAGTACTCGAATTAATACGACGGCAAAAATAAGTTGCGGTAACATTGTTAGATACACCGTTACTGTGCACGACTCTATAAATTTCTAAAATTGATAAAGATGATGAGAAGAAAATGATGAAAACGTCGTAAATAACACATACGTCAAAGTCATTTTTGCCGGATATTTTCACGCGAAATAAAAGTGCCATCGTTACACTGGCGCTCGCCAAAGTAAAAGTAACGTTTCATGGAAATTACTCGAGAAACGTGTGTTATTAATTAATTCGATTCGAGAAACGATGCACGGATGTCTCTCGCTTGTTCCTCGATCCGATCTCATCGATTTTTCCCTCCCCGGCGAGATTTAAGTGCATCAGCAGGCCTGGTTCTCCGACTGCTGAATTTGTTTGACTACGAATTTGAATGGAACGATTCTGCTCGATATCGAACTCAAACACAGCACGGTTTGTTACCGAATTCGAGTGTATCGATTTCGGAACTCAGCCGCGTTCCTTGATACACAGAGTACGAACGTCAGTGACGTCTGTTTGCCGTTAAACTCGAGAACGAATCGATATTCTTTTGACAGTCAAGTCTATCCCCCGTCGCTCGATACGATCGCAAATGGAATACAAACTTCATTTTCTCTCTTCACTGTCTCATCCATCTCGTCGCGAGAGAGTCTCTCTGGTCTTATTCTATTTTTACATCGTCTAACGGCTCGGTGAACTTGCTCCTTCCGCTCTTGTTTCGCCATAACACAACGTGTATCACGACAGTGATTTGCGATAATGCCGCCTTTCTCTGATTGACTTTTTGCACGAGTCGGCGCGCAAGCAAGCGGGACAACGTGCGGCGCGTAGACAGCGCAACCTGTGAAACTAATTATGCTGATCACAGTTATCCGTGCCCTCGTTGCGTAAAATATTTAGCTCGCCGCACGCTGGCGATTGCGCCTGATTTTTCTTTCCTTTTTCTTTTTCTTTCTTTTTTTTTCACCCCGTGCGAGAGCCGTTCGCAGACCTCGGGCTACGCCTCTAGTTCACGCACGTGGAACATACATACGTTGTGTACATACGATGTTCGTCGCGGTGCGTACGCCCGATTTTTACACGCCCCGGCCGTTGCAATGTGGAACGATCTAATTGAGCTTCTGGTAAACTGCACGCGTCTACGCGTTAGTCACTACTCTCTGGTCAACACGTTCCATAAATAGAAACAAAATTCTGCAAACTTCGCTTTTCACTGGTTTTAACTACCATCGCCGGGTATTATTCCATGTTCTGCGCCTGGGAATCCACTCCGCGGACGGCAATTTGCGCTACGAGAAACGTTTATTACAAACGATTAATCGAAAGTTTCGAGCGTTAGTATTGTCTTGCTTGAAATTAAAATAAACGTGCAAGCGTGCCTCGCGGAGGTATGTACGTGGCGCATAAAAAAAGTTTTGGGCAGTCTGCTCAATTGTTAACTTTCCACCTTTCCGAAAATTCTCACGATACAAAGTGAACGAGGGAAAAAAAAAAGGCATCGAACGACCAAACTGTGCGTTCAACTCGCAAGGCTCGTTGCGAGTTTCTTCTTTTCTTTCTTTTTTTCTTGTTTTCTTTTTAACGATCTAACGCACGAGACTTTTTGCGAGCCTTATATGGCACGATCGGCAATCGTTGCGCAAATATCTTTAATACCGCGCACTTGCATTTTATCGTTGCCCGATCTTTCTGCGCCGGTCGCCTTTAGGCCCGCAGGCGAAGCCCCCAGCGCGTGTAAACCAACGTCGACGCCCCGATGCTGGTAATTTAGCATAAGTCACAATTGACAACGTAATGTCCTTTGATTTGTGGGGCCGATCTCCCGTCGTCGTGACGCGGCGACGCGAAACGACCCGCCGTAAAACACGAAAACGCCTGCGAGTACGCGCGGATTTTCGCAAGACGAAACCGAAAAATACCGAACCACTCTCTCTCTCTGTCGAGGGGAATCCATTTCGTTCCAATATCGCGATATTTTACACCTCGTTAAATTCGATTCTATCTGTTAATCGTCCGATGCTAATCCGAATTGTTCGTTTTATTGCGCTTTCAGTTGTACAAATCATATCCGTCGTACGGGCCATTTATACCGGGAAACTTTGCAACTCTGTAGTAATGTAACTTTCGTATAAACAAAGTGATTGTACAAAAAATTTCCCACGCATTAAATAATCAGTTCAACTGAAAGAAAACGTCGCGCTCTCTGTGTTTCGAATCATCGATTAAAAGTCTAGAAAACCACGGCTCGCCGTCTATGAAAAAGGTCTGAAAGTAGATCAACGAACATTCTTCCTAATTTCGTTAATCCTACCTGGATCGTTTGAATCGAGCCGTAGCAGCCGGCTTGAAATACACGGCGTTTCGGCGAATAATTTGAGAGGAGTATCGTGCAATAGTTTAATGATTCGCGAACACGAACGCCATTGTCCGCGAGGTGGGGGAAAATCATTGATACCGGCGCGAAGAGGAAAATTTATCATGTCCTCGAGCAACGTCCGCGAGGACAATGAGAGTATTACCGCTCGCGGCGCGTTGCTTGCACGCATGCGTGCCGTAGAACTCCGCGCTCCGTGCGAAAATTTCAAAGTGTTCTCCTCTTTGCAGCTGTTGGACGTCGCCGGGTATTATTTGGTTTCCAGCTCTCCTAGTCACGTCCTATGTCACTACAAAGATGCGCGTTTTTTTCTCTCGACTCGCGTAGAGATATCGCGGACTTTGCACTCGGATTTCGTAACTTGCGTTACGCTTACGTCACGCGCCTTTTTGTTTCTTTCGTCGATGCCGATACCAGACACTCGGATGCAGGTCTTTTTCTCGATGCATTCTTTTTTTCTTCTTTTCTTTTTTCTTCACGGTGCATAAAGCGCGATCGTTAATTCTCATTTCCCAAGATTCAAAGTTCGATCTGCGATCTTAAGGCGTTCCCGCGAGGAAGTGATTCTATGATGAAGAAGCAAATAAAAAGTATAGCTCGAAGCTTCGTTTGCGAAGAGAAAAAATTGGATTATCATTGGAATCTCGTTACACTAACGTATCTAATTCCGATCGTGATTATTGCATCGAACAGGTGTACGAAGAACAGAATTATGCTTTGTTCGCACACGAGCATCTATGGAGAACACGAGCTTTTTCGCTGTGTGTTCTTCATAGTCCGATATAATAAAACACGAACTGCACTGTAGAGTCACTAATGCAACGAGAAAAATTGTATTTTCGATTCATTTTTTTAATACGCTAACGCCAATTGCAAAACACCTTACACGACAGATCGGTTGTTACGAACAGAATGAAATTTGTCGACATCGAGAAAAACGTATTACTTCGTTTTGTTGGACGTTAACGAAGCAGCGGCGAGTGACGCGCGTATGCTTGGACTCGAAACAAATCCCAGAGATCGCAATCCTCGGCGTTTTCCTACCCTGTACTTCCAAGCGTTAGGAAAGTTATAGTTGCGAAATAAATTCGTGACCGGACTGCCAGGTGACTTCGATCACTGGCTAACACCGTGTTTATCCGCTCCGCTGAATTATACATTTTTCTCCGTGTGGGCTACGACGCGGAGCATCGACGACGCGGCCTTACGGGAAACTTTAACGAGATGTATCGATGCTATTTCGTTGATTTCGTAAAGGTACTCACCAAACTGTTCTCGCGAACTCTCGCCTAAATACGTGTGCCAAGGGCAAGAAACTTACCTGAAATACAAAAGAAATCGCAAATATTAGAATCATAAACTTTCTTGATTAAATCGCTGCTACAATTGGTAATATTAGCGCAGTGAGATTTTTATTAGTCAGTCACATTCTATAATTCTTTTGCCACTGTTACTCAAAGACTTATGTTTCGCAACAGCAGTTGTGGGATACAAATTGAGTAAACGTATACATACACTAGCTACTCTATGTGTGTTTTCTGCTAAATAAGTGTATTTTTCCACACGTCGATATTGCAATCCTCTAATATCACGTGAATGCTAAATTTTGAAAGCTTTCACTTCGAAATGTGCAAAGAAGAAAGGACAGTTCGAGAGTGCTCGGGCTTGCAAGTCAACGAGTTCAGCGAGTCTTGAATAAAGAAATTTGATTTACTTTTGAAAGAGCAATTTCCTACTTTAACGACACCTCTTCTAGTCACTGCTAATTATCAGTCGTCTCTTGCAATTCGACGATAAGAAGACTTTGCATTTAAATGGAAGTACCTACACATGGAGCAAATGCGAAACGACACAACGAAGTTTTATTTCGATTATTTTAAACTTCAGTTTGAAACTTTTTATCTCGAATTTTGTAATTCAAATTTCGCGTAATTATCACAGATAAACTCCATTTCGTGCTACGCCCGAGTTTGTGCAAACTGACAAATCTAACATTATTGTACCGCAAAGAAAAATTCGTAACAATCAACATACACGATACAAAAAAGTTTTCACTCAGATTTTACTCTTCGTCCTATCGAAAATTATCAAACGTCTCGCGAGTGAAAGATGGAGTTGGATAATAGACTTCCGACACCGTTCTCTCACGCGCAGCAGATCCAGCAGATTTGAATCTCGATCGAATCGAGCTCGTCGAACGCGAGTTCGCACGCATCGTTTGCTCTCGCCCTTCCCGAGGAAGGAAAAATCAAAAGTTCCGTAGGCAGCCACGTACCAGTACGGACCGATCGTTCCCATCGAACGTCATTTTCCCGTCAAAACGTTCCTTTCATTGCCGTTCCCGTTCGTGCGAAGAAAAGACTTGGTCGCACGTCGCAAACACAGCTTCGAGCTATTATTACGCGTTCATTTACAACCACCCCTCCTCCACTCCTCGGCCGGCCTCGTGCCTTGTGCAAAGAACAAAACGGAAGCTCGGTCTTTTACAAGAAAAAGGCAGCGCGCAACGTCGTCGTGAGCTGCGAGAGAGAGCCGCTGCTGCTGCGCGGTGCCGTGAGCCGTTCGTTCCCTCGTCTCGCTTGATGTGAAACGAAGTTTTTTAAAAGGCAGCGTCATGCAACTATCAACGTGCATCGCGAGGCCTTCTCGTTTCTTTGCGTTTGTTCGGCTGGCCGAGAGACCGTGCACGCTCCTAACGTAAGGAGCGATTGTTGTCGGCAATAGGCCTGTCGCAATCGGAAGTTTCGTCTTGCAACCGTCGCTCGGCCGTTTCGCTTCGGTACGTCCGGAGAGCCAACAATCCCGCTCCAACGATTCACCAGAATCGGACGATGGAGAGAGCCCATCTCGATGAAGCCCGTCTCCACCGCCGTACCAAGCATTTATTTCTCTTTATTTTTCCTCTCTTTAGCCAGAAGAGGTAAGACAGACCGTACCGTTTGAATGTTTGATGGCTGGCGGCTCGGTGACGAATGATTACTCTTGCTAACTGGACCATTCGGATATTTCAGGACTTTTTTGTTAATACGTTGAATGGTTGAACATTTCTTTCAGTTTCGTCTAACGGCGTCCTTTCGTCGTTGCACGTTTGGTTTCGAACGAAGTAATTTCGATCCAACCCGAAACAGCAGATTACTATGTGACTCTCGAACCAAACCAGTCAATTCAAATTCTATCACCTCGCCTGATACGTGAGTCGAAACGAAATTCAATTGAATAAAGAAGGAACGAATTTTTGATTCCAAGTTCTATCTTTGATTTATAGAATAATCATCCGATCGATCGGACATTCAGCGTGACAATCCACGTCAGCGTCGAACCGAAAGAAATTTATCACCCAGGAAAATGGAATTGAAAAGGAGCTAAATGCGGACAGTCCGTTACGCTTCTAATAAAAATCGTTAAACTCAAAATAGGCGTGCTCGATACGAGTTTAATCGGACTTTGCCCTGATTTATAAGCCAATGGAAAATAGGTCTCGGATCGTTAACCACTCGGGAGTCCTTGAGCGTATAAGGCGTTTTATACTCCGAGTAAACTCTGATGGAGGGAAAGTCACAATACTTAGTTTACGATACATCAGAGGCGTAACTATCTTCCAACCTATCGTTCAACTCAGAATCACTTCAATTCGCGTACTTTTTAATTAACGAGTATGAATATAAAACAAACAAAAAAGAAAAAAAAAACACACCTGTAAACTCAAGTAATTTTATATTTAAGACAAATTGGACCTTGCGTTCCTCCAATTTGATTACGAGTACAATTTCGATTCAACGTTAGAAAGCAAAACGAACACATCTGCGAGAAAAAGGAGCGCGAATTTGAAACCAGGTATTCGAATCGGGGGATCCCCGTGTCAGCCAATGAAATGGCCAAACAAGGTCGACTATGGCGCCGCTGGACGAGCCGACTTGGTCGGTAAGGTTGAACATCGACGATAACTCTGAAGAAGTTATCAGCAGGCCCGGTCGATACAGCGGCGCCGTTGGAACACCAGTCGGCTTCGTAAGATTGGTCCACGATGATCGCGGCGTTAGCAGCGTCATCTGACGTGGTATTCGGTAGCATCGCGGCGACCGGCCTTGCAAGGCTGCAGGCCATCGAACTCTTGGCCTACTGCCGCGCTACGTAATACGTGTATACGATGCGCGAGAAACGAGGATAACCGGCATGCGAGAGGGAAAAAGGACGAACGATCCAGTGGGAGCGGTCTCTCTAACTCTGAAAATCTGAAAGAGGGGTAAAGCAACACCAGTGCCGTACGACCACTTCAGACAACACGCTCCCCAATCCGAATACCCGAAATTTCATTTCGCTCGATCGAACGATGTTCCAAACGAAATCAAAAAGTCGCGGACTGTTGGAATGATTTGGAAAGTTCTAGCATGGTGGGAAGGACGAAGGCAAAGTATCGTCTCGAATGAAATTTTGTAGGAATAAATTTGGACAAACTCTTCCGTTATAGTCTTCCCTGAAGGAAATTAACTTTAATATCTCTAGTAACTTTAGCATTTTCACCGAATCAGCCTATTATCCATCTGATTCAATTTCTTGTTCAACCCTTTTCTTCTACCCATTTTTAAAAATTTATTCATTTGTGCAAATGAATAACAATCAAAGAAGTATCTGTAACTATTATTTTATAACAACAGTAACAACAATCAGATAAGTATCTGTAACTATTCTATCAATGAAACCTCCAAGAGCGATCATTCCATGTCCCGCGCGTCTTTCATTACCGTTACAACCCCGCAAATCCCGCGGCACGTTTGTACAATCAATCCTTCCCGTCAAACTCGCGTCGAACAAACACCAAATTACAGCCAAATTACAGCGGCAAGTGAGACACAAATAAAACGCGCGGAACGATAATCGGCAGAAGGCTGCTCGTCAAGAAGGTAACAGAGAATTGCAGCGTTACCATAATGGCGGCGCTCTCGAACGTACGAAAAGTAAAGTGCCCTTTGCCGCGGTTATTCGTCATTGGCAATATTCCTGCGCCATTCAGCGTCCTGGCATTCCTGCGACGCGTATAAAAAAGCTTTCAGCTTCGGCGCGAGGAGTGGTTGGCGGTTGGTTCTATAAATGGTGAAACGGCACACGGGTATGCTCGGGCGAAAGGGGAGGAAATGGTGACGTCGTCACGAGGAATTTCATCATATAGCTAGAATGCAGAAGGTATCAGTCGGTTTTAAGCGCGCGACGGGAGGCCAAACCGTGCCACGGTCGCGCTTCGAAGCGGGGCTTCGCTGTCGGACGCACTTTTACCCTACATCGGCCTCCGTAAGCTCGTTAACCAGACGAATCTCGTGCGCAAACCTGACGCTTCTAAGGAGGGAATTAAATTGCCGTGGGTGTGAATTACTACCCTCCCAAAGGAAACCTTTATTTCTTTGCTCTTTCTCAAATGTTACGTTCTATCTGTGCTTCCTCCAGGAGGTTTGAGCGGTTCAGCAGTTGTACGGTTCTGTGTCTTTGGCCTTTCTTTTTCACGTACCGGTAATTAGAAAGAAAGAAAATGTGGAAAAAAAAAACTCGAGAAAAATTCATATCTCGCAACTCGATGAATTATTCTTCGTTCCAAATATGTCGTCTCAAAAAATTGCTGTCAGCGACGTGAAACGTGGAAAATCAATAAAATAAACTTTATTATACTATTTCTCTGTGGTCTTCGTACGTTCTCCCTGGAGAGCTATTCGAGGCTCGATTCATTTCCATACCATGTATTTTCAATACTGATTAGAGTTCAACGTTTAATGGAACATTCCGTCGTGTTACGTCGTTTATTGCGCTCGTGGAAACACGAAAAAACGCGGTATCCGGTTTTGAATTACTTCTCCTCCATCAAAAATTCTAAATTTCAAACTTATTTCACTTTTTCCGATTGCGACAACTACGACAAAGATCGAGACGAGCAATGATCGTGAATTTTTGTACAAGATACAAAGGGAGAAGGAGGAAATTTATATGCGAGAAGCTCTTTCAGAGTAGACCGAAGCTCGATTGAATGTAACCGAACTGTAAACAGGTCTGATACACGAAAGTGCACTCTACTTTGCCAGAATTCCCTCTCCCCTTGGCGGCTTCCATCTGTTTACGTCTATTTACCAAACTAGGCTTCAATTGCTCGACGTACCGCTTGCCCGCTCGTTTCATGCGTCCCGAAGGAAATCGCGAGACACTACGGACTAACTCTTGGAATAAAATATAACTTGGAAATATTCTCTTGCCGACGAACTTCCGTTTAGCGACGGTTTTATGCTTCGAACTTTCGAGAGAATCGAATTCCCCTGATCCGCGTAATTTTCTTCTTCTTGA